CCCATTAATAGCAAGGAGGAACAGTCAAGTGGTTGCAAGACAACACTGGATCAGATTGTTATCATGCACTTTCATCCACTTCCAAAGGCTGATTATTCTTCACAAAGACATTTTAAACATACACAGATCAAAATAATTACTTGAGAAGTTATATTAATAGATTTAATGAAGAGCTATCAGACACTTGAAAGTGTCCTAACAGTCACGATGAGCTATACGTTGGCAGGGTTTTATGGAAAGAACAAAACGAGAGGCAGAAAAGGAACTGCTAGCATTCTCTAGACTGCCCCCACTGCTGTACAGCCCGCCAAACTTGGTAGACTTTGCAGGTGATATGACACCTTGGGGGAGAGTGTGTGGTTTTTCGTACTAAAACTCCTGCCCATGTTTGCAGTAGAATTATTTATGGCTCTTCCTCCAACTACAGAGACAGTGCTGGTGGGATTTCTGAAGCCTTATGCAGTGTGATGAGACACCCTGCTGAAAAGAATATAAAAGCTTGTCTAAATTGAAAAACTAGAGGTATTTACCAACAGAGACCAAAGATTCAGGCAGTGCATATTATCTACTGCAGAAATTAGCAAGTGCAGCACGGGTTGAGGGAGATGAATGACCATGGATGCTATAAAAGATGAAAAAAATTAATAACTACTTTTTCCCCTGCAAGTGTCACCATACAACCTTTAAAATATCTAGATGCTACTTTCCCAGCGAACTACTTTTTTTAACCATATCATTCAATCCCAGCTGAGCCTGACCCAAAGAATATTGCAATGTTGTCCTCAAATCCCAAATCCACCTTCCTCTCCTCCAAAGCTGGTGTAGCTCAGAGCTTCTTCACGTTCAGATCTTAGCCAAGTCCAAGTCCAGCTCACACTCACATCATCTGTAGAGCAGGAAATTCCACCTGCGCTGCAATTTCCAAAAATGTTAGCATTTTGCATTACTCACTACTAAAAATTAGGCAACACAGATTGGTATGATGCATTATTATGGAAAAAGATCCTTAGCTTATCTTCTTTCATACCCTCTGGAGAGCTGAAAAGTAATAGGGTCAAAGCAGGAAACTCAGCTGAGATGAACTCTTATGTATTTCACACAATTCCCCCCTGCCCCCGTTTTTTTTTTCCAATTCCAGTTTTTCAATTTTTCCATCCATCCATTTTCAGCAACTGATTACAGAAATATCACATTACAAGATACTATCCCAGGATCCTGCACAAAATCCCACCACAGAGAGCAAACAGTCACAAAGACTAAATACTGAACAGACTTGGGGCTGTAGATACGCCCAAGGGACTTGATGAAGGCTTGGATCTTGGTAGAAGACAGCTGAGAGAAACTGCTGGTCCATTTTTAAGTGCTCAGTGATACTACACAGGAGATGTTTGGTTTAGCAAGGAACCCTAGGGATGGGCCCCCAAATGAAGTCCCATCCAGATGCTCATAGTACACTATATTGCCCAGAGTCCCATGGAAGACATTATCTATTCAGGAGCATGGGGAGAAAAAGGGAGGGAGAGATGAGGAAATGTCTGCTGAACACACACAGAGAAATAAAAAGAAAAGCACTGGCTGAGTTCCAGAAATTAAAATCTGGCCCCACTGAAGTAGGTGGGAGCTCTGCCACCAGATTTCAATGGAGACAGAATTTCACCCGATGTGAACAGTACTCTGGAAATATCCTCCCTCCAGACACACTGTGGGAGCTCTTCTGGCTCTGAATACTCACTGGAAACACAGAAAGGGAAATTAAACCCCAAACAAGACAACAATACCAGAATGATTAATCAACAAACAAAAAGGATGCAACAACAATTAAGCAAAAAGTATTGCAGAAGTGGGTGGAAAGAAGGCAGCAATTCCTTTACCTCCTGGACTACCAAACTTTGCCAGGAATAAGGAGGGATGCAAGGACCCGTGGTGCTGGGTACAGGGTGCCATGTCAAGACTGCACTGGAGGCAGTCTGCACAGATTCAATAACAAGAGGAAGAAAAACTTCTAGCACAGATTCAGCCTTGGAGTATACTCCCGTCACTAATGCTATATAAAGAGGCCAGAACCTAGCAACTTCAGCAAAGATTCCTAGGAGCAATCAGCGTCATCACTGACAAATTCCCAGGCAGGCTAGTTCACGGAAAGGGCATGCTCAGAAAGCTCTGCAGTTGTGTAACTATGAGGATTCTGCAAATGAGAAATACAATGCCTGAATCCAATAAACAGACACAATACCTATAAAGCCCCATCTATATGACAGCTATGACCCAGTTATTTAGCCTACAGTTGCCCTCTGATCTAGTTAGCATCTGGTTTCATACCACAACTATACAGTGGTCCTGGATGTTCCCCTTTCACTGGCTTAAAAGTTCAGGTTGCCTAAGATGCTAAGTTCTACCTTTCAGAGTGCCTGAAGACCCCAATTCACATGAGGCAGCTGGAGGGACAAATTCCCATCACAGCTGGAACTCAGCCCCTAACTCCCAACCGAAGACCTCTTCTTTGCTGCAGCTCTGCTGCAAAAAGGGACTAAACGGCTCTGTTTCGGTAAACTACTGCAAATTGCACCACTTTGGATGTGGTGATGACAGCATGTAAACTTGCACACCTGCCACAGACTAATATTCAAGTATTGTACTCCACTTTGAGATGAGCAATTCAGATGAAAATTCGTGTCTACATATCAATGATGGGTGAGTGACAACGGCTAACCAAGCATTAAACCAGAGTTCCCTGAGTAACTGTGTGTGACAGCCACAGCGTAGGCAGGCACCCACCAGGGTTTGGAAGCTCCCACGGTCCTTTGAGCTTTTCTCAGGACTCTTCTTTCCTCACAAAACAACTGGAAAGTCTGTTTTTAGCAGTGGGTCCCCAGCCACCCCTGTAATGGCGTGAGGCTCACAACCTTCACAGAGCTTAGGCCATCTGCCAGTTTCCCCTCCCTGCTCTCTTCTCCCTCTCTGTCTCAAATAATCAGGGAAAAAACCCTGACCACATGGCCAGCCTCTTCAGGTGATGGACATCTCTTGAAGCTCCATGGTTTGCACATTACCCATGTGCCTGGACAGACCACTGGTCTTGGTGTGAGTTCCTTGTCCATGGGCTCTGCTGTCAGCCCTTAGGATTGCCCAGTGTTGGTGTCTATTGCCCAATGTTATTAAAGGTAAGGGGAAAAACAGAGGGCACCAAGGCAAAATAAAGCATGTCTGCAGGCCCTGCAGGCTCTGCTGGCTCAGAGCAAGTTTTTTCATCCAGTTACTTAGTTGGCAACTTGGAAAATGAAGAACAAATGTGTTTGGACTGACACTGATCCTTCTGCAGACTCTGGAAACAAAACTGGAGGGGAAGAATGGCTGGAGAGTTACTGAGCTCTTGTGCTCCCTGGCTGCCTCAACACCATTGTCACCCCTGATGACAAAGCAGAACTGCTCGTCGGTGTGCCAAGATCCTGGGAGAAAAAGCACGGACTGCCCCTAGAATAAAATAACATCTTGTTTTGAACAGCTCTTGCCAGCACTCAAGGAGGCTTGAGAAAGTTGTATGCCACCAGCTGACAGGCTGGCCACGGATGACAGCTGGGCCTATAACCTTGCTGCTCACCCCTCGCTGGATCCAGGACTTAGACCATAAAAGGACCAAACCTGAAACCAGTACCTAATCCACAAAGGGAGAACTTAAAAATCCACTTCTGGGTCACTTGTGACTAAGGTCGCAAGTCCAGTGTTTCCAGAAGTTATTTTCACTGCCATGACACTGGCTGCAATATGAGGGAAAATGTGATTATCAAAAGTCTCTCCACAGAGTAAGAAGACTAATGTAAAATCATTTCAGCCTAGTCCCCTCATCTTTCTCCTACCTTTTACACACCATATTTTTCCTTGCCTTTTTTTTCATGCCCAGGCACATACTAGTACCTAGAAATGGTTGAAAATGTATAGTTTTTTCCAGGACCTACGCTGACTCCATACACAAACCTATATTTTATCACATTCTTCTACCTCCCTTCAAGTACATCTGATGATTTTCTACAATAGTCTTGTCAATACTAATACACCAACTGGTATCACACAGATATGTATTTTCTACTGATCTGCTATTTTACCTAAAAATGAGAACTTCAGACTAGTACAATCCTCACTCAAAACAGCTGACAACATTCTTTTTAAACTGTCAGAGGTAGATTTTCAACAAAGAACATCATTTTTAGGAACAGTGAGACATGCAGACATTTTGAGAGTTACTGGTTCAAATGGTGCCCCTTAAACAAGTGAAAACTAAACACACTGAAAACATCCAAAATTCTCCTTTTTTTTTTTTTATACAAATCTGCAGCGTTATTTCACTACGGTCAGGTTTTCAAGTACAGGAACTCTGACCATCAGTCCTTCCGGAATGAGAAGTTCGAGTATGAATAAATAACCACACGAACTTAAGTTGATGTAAGAAGACAAAGGAAAGGCAAAATCAGAATTCAACATTCTTTTTTTTTTTCTTGACCAAAGGCAGTAAAAGTGATTGCTGTGTTCACTATTTATTTTATGATATGCAGGTAAGAGTAACTTCCACAAGGTTACATGTAGGCCAGTGAGGAATGGCAGGCCAAAGGACATGCACCAATCTGCTTCACAAAGAAGCCAGGTGATACCTGGCGGGTTGTCATGGTGAATGGGATCACTTACTATAAGCAATAGCTGCAGATGACCTAAGTTTATATTGCTTTGTGTTGACTGAAATAGCTTGTTCTGTCCATGCAGGGGACTCCAATTAGAGTTTGCTATTCAACACACTGATTTGCACACAGGCTGGAAGTGTTTGCAGTACAGCAGAACGACATGATATTTAAGTTTACTTACCCTGTAGATTTCTGGTAGGCTTAAAGTAAGGCCATTGCTCCAGTGAAAAAGCCCTCAAAGGCCATTTTTTCCCACACTAGAGATCAGTTTGTGATTCGGGTTCCTAAACATTTATTTCAGTGCAAATTCTGCCAGAAAGAGGAACTTACTGCTTGTTGTGAAGTTACCCTCCCCAACCTGGGGAAAGGAGTCTACGTCTTGGATGACTTGTAGTACTCCCACAGTCCGCACCGGAGGATCCAGGGTTACAGAGCTCTCGTTCACTGTTATATCGCTGGCTCCCGTTATCTGGTTGGTTGGCGGTCCTCCTATGGAGGCTTCCAAGTCTGGAGGTATATCATCCATGCAGTCTGCATTTGGCTAATGGGAAGAAAAAAAAAGAAATTTGAGCTTTCACCTGATAAAAAGATTTCATTTCACTTTCAGGTTTTTCACTTTCTTTCAGTACTGAAAATGGCAATATATGATGAATAAACACGCACAGTTTATTTGTTTTCGTGTACTTAAAACCTCTTAATATAATTTGTTGGAAAAGAGACCTGAAGTATGCATTGCAAATATTCAGTATTAAACTGTCACCTACAATCTCTAACTATTCTTATTTACATTTTTTAAAGGTTTTGGGAGAGTGTACATTGAAAAAGTAACTCACTTATTGATATGATCTGTTCAACACAGGCAGACTGCTGAGTCAGATTACAAATGTAAACAGAGACGGTAGCTGAAGGGGAATGATTATCTTTTCCCTAAATACACATTTTTATAGAGCTGATATCAGAGCTTTCAGGAATAGGAATTCAAGGGAACTGCCTGTGGGCGCATCTATGTGTGGGGTGCAAAAATAGAAGCTAAAGCTGTTTATAAGACAAGTTTTTTAACATCAAAAGATCTTTTCCTTTACTAATCCTATATTTCCTACAAAATAAAATTATGAGAAAAGAAACAAACAAGCAATAATGAGACTTTGAAGAGTATTATTCAATCCATAGTCTTTCTTGCTTTGTGATTCAGAGAGACCAAGGATGAAACCCAGTTCCTGTCTAAATTCCTGGGGAATTTAGACACTTCTCTCTTGCAGTTACATAGTGAACGCACCAACACCTCCAGAATGAGCCAAGCTCTTCAAGTCAGGTGTCTGCCTTTCCATTGGCCTTATAGGGAAGCAATGAGGGGGGGTGTGGTGCCCACCTCTCTTGCACATTGAGCGCCTCTTCACAAAGGGCACTGAGACTTCAAGTGGGCACTGGGGGGCAATGAGGGTCGTTTGTCCAGTGACACTATGTCCAAGCTGGGCACTTAAAACAGTCAGACTAGTTTCTAGCCCTGATTTCTCTGGGCTTGTTATAAGCCTGATGCTCCCATTCATACAGCAGTGATTTCTATGGAGCTCCCCATAAACATTGGTGACAAACATATGAGTAAAAAAGCTGTTTTTCCTCTAAGAGGAAACAGATTATTGCACCATTTGCCCATAGAACCAGGTCTAGTTCTCCTCAAGGCATGAAGAAAAATTGTTTGCATAACTATTTCAAGAACCAGGTTTTGAAGTTTTAACATATTGTAACAAAACCAAGGCTAATTCTGAAATGAGGATGCTGTGTGTCAGGGTGCGAAGCTTCCAAAATGACAGAGGGACATAGCAAGGTTGAGCTGCAATTATGCAGATACCTTGTTAAGTTAGGAAACGTAAAGTTAAGTTGTTCCCATTTATCTTTATTGTCCAGGAGTCAGACAGCTAATCTGGATCAGTCACTTAGGTTTCCTCTAACTTCAGTGGTTTGAGACAATTTTGCTGTGTGATTCATCCCACCCTCAGGTAAGCGGTATGAATTGCCCCCTCTGCCTTCCCACTGCTCAGCACTAAGCAGAGATGGGGCTTAAGCTGCTAGACTGGAAATCCAGCGTCTGGATGGCTGAAGTCAGAGGGGAGGTACTCTGCTCTGTGGATCTGATTTTGGTATGCTTAGCTGTCTCGCTTGCTAAGGCATTTTTGAAAATCTCACTACCTATCTCCAACAGCAGGCACCTAGAAACTAAGCAAAATATGATACAGCAAAGACTTAAAGAGAAGCTTAGCTTTAAGCACAAGAGTAATCCCTTTGAACTCAGGCATAGAAGGTTACCATATGCTTACATTTTTTGCAGAACCAGGAACTTAGCATGTTTTTTATTTTCCCATACGTTCCCTGTCTGATTGTTGCTACCTCACAAATATTTTTTCACAAATGTTCCTAATGACAAAGGCAGGCATTTTAAACAATTCTCAGGTGACTTGTAGCCACAAACTGAAGTTTGGGATAAAAATTAGAATTGTCGCTGTCTGGCTCCAGTCTAATCCACAAGCAGCGAGAGCTCCTCAGAACTGGGATAAAGGCACCTTCAGCTATACCAGGTTTTAATGAAACTCATTGAACCTGTACTTTTCTAAGTGAAATACCAATCATTTATTTGCAGGACCCGGATCCAAAATTATTCGTTAGATCTATCACTCTT